AGACTCTGGGAAATGACTGCACATTTCTGCCGGCAGCTGCCTTGCCAGAGCCAAGGCTGACTCAATCAGTGTGAGCCTGCAGAACAAAGCCAAGTTGGCCCCTTAATTGTCCTCAGCATTCTGGAGTGTCAGGCAAGTTTCCCTCCACTGAGTCACCATTTAAAAAATTTGCCTTCGTGGATGGGAACCTGCCATTTTGTAAAAGTGCGAGCTGAGGCTTGTCTGAACCCTTGGAACAATGGAGTATCACATTTTGTAACCATTACTTCTGAAACGGCTTGAAAAAGTCCTTTCTATAAATTGTGTTCTCCGCAGCTGCTGCAAAATTCAATATTGTTTGTTTACTTATTTAAACTTCATTTTGGGGTCAATCAAATCATATTATAAAGGATTTTAGGTTTTGTGCAAAAAAAAAAAAACATCGAGATACTGAACACATTAACAACGTAAATAACAAATACATGTTTATGCATTGGCTTCTAGTTCAAGCAATCTGGTTGGCATTTTCTCAAGGGAATTATTTAAATTTTAAATGGAACAACATCTCATTTAGATTTCTACAAATATGCTAGGGCACAGAAGTAATTTATATGTACATGAGACTCTTCACTTAAGCACCTGGGTACTTGACAATAATTAAAATACAAAGTAGACTTATTAACTTTTCCTTTTAACTTTCCACCTTTTTGCTTCTTCATGGAGAGTGAGAGAAAAATTTCTGGAATAGATTGTCAAACACCTAGGGGTCCCTTTTCCTACGCTCACATAATGCCTAATTGCAATTCCCTTCTGAATCTCTTTCTGTTGCCTCCTTCAAGAGTTATGCTATGATCTTTTATATACTCAGTTTCTGTTTTCAGAATATGATTTTGTTTTGTGTTTGTTTGGTAGTGTTAAGGGATAAAACCTAGGGCCTTGTGCAGGCAAGGCAGCTGCTCATCAAGAGTGCCTATTTTGAAATAAAAGCGCTGTCAAGCCTGCCTTGGTGGCACACGCTTGTCATCCCAGCCATTCCAGAGGCTGAGGCAGGAGGATCTCAAGTTTGAGGCCAGCCTAGGCAACTTAGTGAGACCCTGTCTCAAAATAAAATAAAAGGGCTAGGGATATAACTCAATGCTAAACCACTCCTGGGTTCAATCCCCAGTGTAGGGGGAAAAAAAAGTGCTATTGAAAATCTAATACCAAATTTTCTCCAACAAGCCAGTAGATACCATTGATACAGTCTTTTATATTTTATTGCTGTTAAAATAATATTCATCATATGCTGATTTAGTCTTTCACAGAGCTCTTCAAGAAGAGTTTTATTTTATTTTGAACCAAAACACAATGTTCCTGTTTGTTCTTTGAGACTTCTAAACAGTCAGCATCCCAGCACCTCCTCCTAAGTCTCCTTCCTCATTCTCAAGCTCATTGGCTTATTCCTAGCACTTTGAAGTCGATCTCATCTGAAATGCCTTTCTTCTCCTTCCTACCATTCTGTCTTCTCCTCCTAGTGAAAAATCCAGCTCACATTTTTTGAATCAATATTTATTTTTGCTCTGGGATCATGGAATTGAAATTATTCAAATTTATGTTTTCTTTCCCAACAATATTTCAAGTGGACACAATGTATATACTTATCAGCTCTTTTCTTTATCCTATTAATGTTCCTCTGCTATATAATACATAAGCTAAGTCCTTAGAATGTTGTCAACTCACTTAGAAGTAGAGGAAATGAGACMCTGAGATTCAAGTATCCAAATTTGCAGTTATTGTTAATTCTGGCTTCGTTTTATGGTAGGGAGATATGAAAACTACTGTCTCATAGAATTTGGATATTCAGAAACAGGCACCATGCCAAATGATTTTTTTGACTCCATGTACTTTCCATTTACGGCTCTGTCCTGTTTTGTGATTTTTGTCTTTCAGAACACAATTTGTTGCTGAAGAAATTTGAAACAGTGAAATAAGTGTGTGCCTGTGTGGGTGTACACCAAATCTAAAGGAAATTCCATTAAAGCTATAAACTGAAAAAAATTATCCCAACTTTGTTATTTCCATGGCTCCCTGAAATAAAATCCATTCTGTTTGTTCTTAATATCTTTTTATGATTTAGTGATATCCTGTAGAGTACTTTATTTTAATTTCAAAAAGGCAGTGAATAGCAGATGTGGTAGAAGGCCCTGAGAAGGAGAAATGGGTTAGAGAGAACTAGTAAAACTAAAAAATATACTGTCAGACTTCCCAAGCAAAGTCAGCTCTAACAGAGGGATCTGGAAGCATCTGTTTCATTCAGAGACACTGACACTGGGGACAAAGGAATTTCACTTTTTTGTTTCTTATGGTTAATTCGACTTTCTTAAAGCAGCATTTTTATTTCATCAATTATTTAAAATTGTATTTGGAATGTAAAAAGGAAAACATTCGACAAATTAAATTTAGGAAAGAAAGATTTATGAATTGGGCAGCTCTCAGAACCAGGAGAGGTTTTCTAGAGCTCCACCCAGCTATGTGGGCAGGCAATACTTAGAGACAGAAAAAAAGGACATGAAATACAGAAACAACTTGATTGGCTACAGTTGGCATTGCCTTATTTGGGAATGGCATGAGGTGGCCTTTGCCTTAAATAGACATAGTCTCATCAGTCCTCAACCTGTGATTGGCTGAAACTGAGGTGCTGTGATTGGCTGAGCCTCTGCTACCTGTTACAACAAGATATTCTCTGTCTGGTTGCAGTTGTATCTATACTAAGTTAGAGTGCAGTTTGATAGAGAAGCAGCTGTAGGCCAAATTTAATTAAATTTAACAAGTGTTCTATCATCAAATCTTCAGATTCTCATTAAATCTATAGTTGCTCACAGTTCCTCAACTAAGAATCCAAAATCTAAAAAGGTGTGAAAAATGCTTTTATAACCCTTCAGTGGCAGAATATTACCTGATCTAAATTAATTTAATGACAAAACTAAATTGATATCAAATTGTTTTACAGTTTTTATTTATCCTCCCTGTGGATATTTGTATGTTTTGGTGTTCACAGAATGTTTCTGAATACAGAGTAAAGCTCCAGACCTTTGAAGCATGTAATATAATATATGAAAACTGTTATATATATATAATTCATTTTTTTCTGAAATTATAATAATTATCTGGCCCTAAAGATTTAGTATTAGTAATTGTGGATCTGAACTCATTTTCCCCTCTGTTTTTATCAGGAAGAAATTCTAAATTATGTACTCTCTTGCAAATGTTTCTTTGATACCTTGAATTAAAGGTGTTAATTTATGAATGTCTCTACTATGAAGGAAACAATGAAATTAGGTTTTAGCAAAGATGAACTCTGGATACAAATCACACAAAAGGACTGCAAATACTTTAAAACATGATGACAAATTGTGACAAATTGTGTACATTTTATTCCTTAACTGCCATATGGGTACTGTGCATGAATATATATAGAAAAAAAATGTATATACACACATATGTACCTGTAAGGTACACACAGGTATATACGTCATAAAATTTAACAGCAACTTTGGAAAACAGAGTTAGCGTCGTTAAATGTGTGTGTTATCATGTCTACTCTCACAACAGATCATAATAGTATCTTAAAAAGGACATTTATTGTTGTAGATGTAAATGTATGTGTGTATGTACACACACACACACACACACAATTAGTACTTTTCAATATTTTATCCAGTGAATGGTTAGAATAAAATTAGTGTTGGTTCCCAAGGCACTTAGGAGGTATCAGCTTCCTAAGAGGATGGGTTTAGGGTTATCACTATTTAACAGAACAATTCAAATGGAATCTGAGCTTATATAAATTGCTCTGTATGTGTTAGAAGCAGAGCAAGAAAGGCAAATGCCCTTTACAGTTCTCTGGGCTCTAACTCATGGGGAGTTCTACCTGCCCTCTTCAGGGAAAAAGGGTGGTTTATTGCTGTTACAAATAGGACAAGGCATAGGATTTTGACTGTCAATCATCATTTCTTGAGGGCCTACCTGTCAAAATCTGAAGCAGACAATGGGAGCTGTTACAAAGTTATCGGGGGGCAGAAGTTTTTCTTTGTAAGAACTTGCAATATAAGCAGAGAACAGCACACCACATTTTGAAGGAATTGTCTAAAGTATATTAACAAAAGAGCATCAATATTGTTATTAATATGCATTATGAATGTCAAGTTTAATAACATATCCAGATGAAAAATATGCCCTGGGCTTGTAAAAGATACTCTGTTTGCTTTTACCAGATTCATGCTTTTATGTAAGTATTCAAGCTGTGTTCTTTAGGGAAGTTAGAATGGTGTTGGGATGGGAAAAGAATGACAGAACACAGGCAAATTCCTATCCAAGGTCAATGGTAGTCAAAAGACAAGGAATGAACAATGGTAAGGGAAGGATTGGTTCTGAAGCCTTGGGGTACATAGAGCTCCAATCCTGCATCCTGACAGTTTTGGAAATCATTTATCTAACTATACAATGAACATTACTTTAGAACATGGAAATCCTTCTGTTTCCTAACAGAAAGCCAGAGGTTTTGTTGTTGTTGTTTTGGATTTTTTTTTTTTTTTTTTTTTTGCCACAATGTGAAAGGAAACAGTGATTCCTTTCTCCAGAAGTATGTGTCCCTTGCAAGTGAAAGTACCAGGCTTTCTCATGAATGGCAGCAGCAGCCTTTGGGGACAATCTCAAGACCTCCTAACTGAAAAACCCATGTTTCCAGTTTAAATATGAGGCAGTAATTGCTCATGCAGCCAGGGACAATTCCACGTCACTGCCTATTTGTGGCACTGTTTAAAAACAATCCACTCATCCTTCAAATTTGACCAAACTACAAATGGTATGAGAACTCAGTCGTCTAATAAGGATGTTCATTTTGGCACTCAGCGGCTTACGCATGGCTCACAGATGGCTTCTGTCTCATTTTGTGTAATCCAATCATCCTGCACTACTGCGTCTCACACTTAGTCTCCAGGAGTAATTGAAAAGCTCACAGTGACAATTGTCTCTTCTTCCAGATGTCATCAGTATAAGGAGCCCGGCTCTCATCACCTCCTTGATGTAGGTTGTGCGCATGGCTCTCCGCGTCAGGGTTGCTCCAAGCAAGGTAAAGAGACATTACTTCTTTGCATTGCTTTTCCTGCTGCCTAGCCCTTGTGTAAATGAGTATGTTCTATAAATGGCCTCTCTGTCAGTAGGCAACTTGTTTCGCTTTTGGCTGGGTACCATGCAGAAAACATTCTGCTGTACTGCTTGCATCTTGTGGTAATGGTGGCAATACAGAGGCGCCTGTGCCCAAGAAAGGATTCTAAAACATTTAAACAGTAGCTGTTTAAAAGCATCATTTTACACAGAAGCAATCTCTCTAGTGTTAACACCTGTACTTCCACTACCATGTTCCAAATTCTTGACAGTTTGTCCTCAATCTTTTTTTTCCTTTTCTATTTTTTTTTTTTTTGCAGGGGGTAGCTTTTATTTTTGTAGCTTCTAAAGGATGTGCAAGATTTTAAAGGCAAAGCATTAAAACATTTTAAGCTGTAGGGTTGTTAGTTTCTTTTCCCCCTGGAGCTAGTGTTAATAGTTTTTATTTCAGTATAAAAATACCCCTTTAAAAAAATCAAAGAACCTGAAACAAGGAAATATGCATAGCTTCAAAGCAGCTGTGTAAATTCACATAGACTTCAGGCCTATAAAGGAGCAGGCTTAAGGGAATGACACTGGAAAATCAGATTTTTACTTAAAAATTAATTTATGATTACAAGTGAGTGCTACATTCATTTTAGTAAAATATCAACACCATGTGTATTTCCTTGAGCTTTTTCTGCTCAATGCCATCATCACCACATACATCATCAGTGAGAAATGTTGAATATGGCAACAGCTAAGAAAAATTTTCTAGGTCAGTGAAAACACTATTTCAAGGAAAACATTTTCTAAGAAACTTGTTTTTTAAAAGGATTTAAAAACTGTACATAATTTATACATAATTTTGTGATGCAACTAGCAATAATAACTTGCTGAAGAGATAAAAAATTAAAAGATAATATCCTGTGTCTTAAGTAGCTTACCCAAAGAACAGGGACTCTATATTTAGTCTCGGTTTACACACACACACACACACATACACACACACACACAAATACATACATATTCCTTGCAGGAGAAATATGTGCATGGTTGGTGCAGATCTTGACAGTTTTAAAATCCCAGAGCATGTGCAGTAGAGGTGAGTTGGTGACAGTCTGAATTCTCATGGCACATCCTGTGGGTTATGAGTTAACTTTTCTTCAATCTTTGCTTATTGTCAGTATTATCAGCACAGGAATTACTTATATGCTCCTAAATTAATATTAATAGCAAAAGTGACCTTCATCTGAAGATAATTCCAAGGTTCCACAAACATATTGAATGCACACAATGTGCCAGGCATTGGGCTAATTAAATCCCCCATCTCTATGCTTGAAATGAGAGAAAAGCTGACACAAGGGAAAGAATTGTGGCCAAAGGCCATTTAATTAATTTGCTGTCTGGGAAAATTGCACAAAAAAACTGGGAAGCAAGCCCAGGTATGAGGACTGGTAATTTGTTGTTCAGAATACAGTGTTTTGATGTTCAAAATGCACTTTTCCTACCTACATTAAAATAATGTAAACTTTCCTCTGTGAAATGAATATATATATAAAGATCTCAGAGACACAACCCAGTTTGGAATTTCCTTGGACTGGAGACTTTTGTCCTTGGAAGAGGCCCTTTCCGAGGGAGCTGCTCAATGGAGGCTGGATCCTGAGCTATGGTCCAACAGGAGAGAGGGACACATCTCATGGTTTCTCTAGGAATTGTTGTAAGAACTTAAAGGAAGGCTTTCGATAGAAAGAAGTGGAAGGGAAAGAATTCTCTGTTGATATAGTACTGAATACGGGGAATTTTACATATGTTCTGAACACAAAACCCCTATGAGGGGCTGGGGCTGTAGCTCAGTGGTAGAGTGCTTGCCTAGCATGTGTGAGGCACTGGGTTTGATTTTCAGCAACACATAAAAATAAATAAATAAAAATAAATGTATTGTGTCCATCTATAACTAAAACAAAACAAAACAAAACAACAATAACAACAACAAAAAACTATGAAAACTAACTTATGTTTTACAGATAAATAGAAGAAACACTCAGAAAGTAACTGGCTGATGTCACGTACTTGCTGGGGAGGAACTAGGAGAGTAACTCCAGCATATCTGACTCTAGAGTCCACATTTTTTCATTGATAGACTATGGTTCCCATTGGACTAGGCTTTCATTATGTTTTCCTTCCTTCCTTCATTATTATTCAAAATGTAGTTATTGAATATCTACCAACGGTTAAACAGTTTGGGTGATGAGGAATCAAACATGACTAGCTTCACATCTCAGAGAGGCTGAAGATATAAGGACCTCCATAAATAAGTGTGTTACTACACAAATGTGGTCAGATCTGTAAGACATACACATAATACAATGGAGGGAAAGATGGAAAGATGGGAGGAATGAGAAGAGGAAAGAAGGAAGGAGGGAAGGAATAAAGGGAGGATGGACAGAGAAAGGGAGGGGGAGGAAAGAAGGAGGGAGGGAGAAAGAGAAAGACATAAAGGAAAAAAGTGACAGATTGACTCTGTCCTGGAGTCAGGGTGCAGTGGGAAGATGGCCTATGAGCTAGATTTTGAGAACATACAGCTATTTGCTCTAAGAGTAAGATTTGGGAGCATTCTGCTTCGCAAAATCACATAAGAGCCTTCAGTTTCCATAGGATAAGTGGAGAAGGCTATTTATTATAAAAGGAACAGGCTCAGATTTCACAAGAGAATTCCCCTAAACTTTCAAAGTTCATATTCTTCCAATGCTTCTTAAATTGTTTCTGAGTATAGAAAAAGAAGAAAAACATGAAGCTGTTTTAATGAAACAGAAATTAAAGATAACACAAAAAAAGATGGGCCAGGTGTGTTGGTGCACTCCTGTAGTCCCAGCGGCTCTGGAGGCTAAGGCAGGAGTATTCCTAAGCAACTCAGTGAGAACCTGTCTCTAAATAAAATACAAAACAGGGATGGGGATGTGGCTCATTGATTGAGTTGAGTGCCCCTGAGTTCCATCCCCAGTGCCCCCATCCCCCAAAAGGTTGATCTCATTTATGATTATAAAGGTAAAAATCCAAATAACATATAAGCAAAGCAAACAGAATCTAAGATGACATCATATAAATAAAGTATCATGGCCAAGTTATATTTATTCTAAAAATGTAAGAATGGTTCAGTATTAGGTAAGCTACTAGCATAATTAATCAAATTTGTAAATTTAAGTAGAAAATCATATGGTCATCTTCATAGATGCTAAAATGGTCTTTGAGTAAAATTGACAGCCATTCCTAATTAAAACACTAAACAAAATAGAAACTGATGATTGCTTCTTTTTCCTTATTTTAAATTTATTTATTTATTCTAATTTGTTATACATAACAGCAGAATGCATTTCAATTCATAGCACACATACAGAACACAATTTTTCATGTCTCTGGTTGTACACAAAGTAGAGTCACTCCATTAGTGTCTTCATATATGTACTTAGAGTAATGATGTCCATCTCATTCCACCATCTTTCCTATCCACATGCCTCCTCTCTTTCCTCCCTCCCCTTTGTCCTATATAAACTTTCTCCATTCCTCCCATCTGCCCCACAACCTCCATTTTTTATCAGCATCCACATATTAGAAAACATTCAGCCTTCGGTTTTTTGGGGATTGGCTTACATCACTTACTATGATAGTCTCCAGGTCCATCCATTTACCTGCAAATGCCATGATTTTATTCTCTTTTAATGCTGAATAATATTCCATTGTGCATATATACCACAGTTTCTCTACCCATTCATCTACTGAAGGGCGTCTAGGTTGCTTCCACAGTTTAGCTATTGTGAATTGATCCGCTATAAACATTCTTCTTTAGTATTAAAGAATATCAATAACTACACATGCATGCACGCACTCACCTCACATCACATCACATCACAGTCCTAAAGAGGGTGTGTTACTCAGTGGAAAAAAAACAGGGACATCTTTAAAAAGGCAAAGAACCAGACAAGGATATACATTAAATTCACTATCATTTAAAAATATACTGGAAGTTCTAGTCAATCCAATTAGACCACAATAAATGAAAGAGCTATAAGAATTAGAACAGAAGTGAAACTGTCTATTTATATATACTATTGTATTTATATATAAGATCAAGCAAAATAAGCCAATTCCCTAAAATCAAAAGTCAAATGTTCTTTCTGATACTATCTGGGTGTTAACACATAACAAATGGGGGTGAGGGAAGAACAGAAGTTTAGTAGATTAGACAAAGGGGAATGGATAGAAGGGAGGGAGAATAGGAATAAGAAAGTGGAATGAGTCTGTCTTAACTTTCCTATGTACATATATAAATACACCACAGTGAATTTTCACATCATGTACACAAGATTGGGATCCTAATTAGAATAAGATGTACTCCATATTTGTATAAATATGTCAAAATGTACTCTACTGTCATAGATAACTAAAAAGAACAAATAAAAAATTCTGATGATTGGCTGGGTGCTGTGGCACACATCTGTAAACCCAGTGACTTGGGAGGCTGAGGCAGAAGTATCACAAGTTTGAGGCTAGCCTTAGCAACTTAGCAAGATCTTTAGTAACTTAGGGAGACCTTGTCTCAAAATAAAATATAAAAAATAAAAAGAGCTAGGAGTGTGGCTCAGTGGTAAAGCACCCCTGGGTTCAATACCCAGACCCAGCCCCTGAATCATGAGGTGTATATCTTATTCTTTTAAAATTTTGGGGTTTTTTTATAATGTGATCCGATCTGAGTATGGTGATATATGCATATCTATTTGCATGCATGATTTATAAGTTAATTAGTACATATTTATTGGGGTGTATGCTCAAAAAATTACTACTGTGAAAATGCATTTAAAWTTTTTGTAAAATACATATTGAGTTTCAAAAAATGAAGTCTTGTGATTTGACAGCAGCTAAATTTGGTATAATATAATATAAATCTTAAATAAAGATAACTAGGGAGAAAAATGAAAATACTAACAC